AAAAAAAAAAAAAAAAAAAAAAAAAAAAGGCTCCCCTAGTGCAAATTATTCTTTAGATTGTTGACTGCGCCAGTCACATCAACTGGCAAATTCCATGAGTAACTTTAAAATGTAATTTTATTAGATGAGTTAAGTGCTTAACGGCTTTCAGTCTTTCACTATGAAAAAATGGAATTACGAGGGATAAAAGGAATCTAACAAATGGCTCTAGTGCATCTGGTCCTTGCGGTTTAGTGGCAATAGTCACTCGGTGCATTTTCTCTTTTTCGGGCTGGATTCGAATCCCGTCCCTTACAAATATGTTCAAAAAAATAAAAAACAAATGGCTCTAGCGCATCTGACCCTGCGGCCTAATGGCAGTAGTCACTTGGTGCATTTTCCTTTTTTCGAACTGAGTTCGAATTCCGTCCATTACAAATATGTTAAAAAAAAAAAAACAAATGGCTCTAGCAATTCAGTCATTTTCCACGGATATCAAAGTGCAGTTTTATCACGGTATATAATATAATAGCTACTTGCATGAGAAGGGTGTGAACTACCTCAAACAAACGAGGAAATTAATGTGAAAGGGTCGGCTAAGTCAACGTCTTTTCATAGCAATAGCTGAAAAGAAAAGAGATGTGGAAGCATCTTTATCCTACTGCTTTTCTTCGCTCTTCTAGCTATTACGGTCAACATTCAAAAAGGCTTCAAGACATGAATTTGATGATTGTGATATGCACCAACGCTACCTTTGGCCCCTGTTGAAAGAGAAGATTTGAGAGGTGGAGGGTGCTAACTAGTTTGCAAATATGAAGAAGGCCAATTTGACCATCAACATCAATTCCAATTTGCTGACTGTCAAAATATGCATGTTGGTGCCTTTCATGGCAGAATTCATTTTTTGTATTGGATTCCTTTCATCACTTGATTACATCAACAGGACTCAATTGGAGCATATGCTTCCTCTATATAAACCAAAATGAAGTGCTTAACTTCTCACAGCTAGATAGATTACGAGTAATATACACTGCTCGTCACCTTCACCCTTGTTCACTTTCGATAAGAAATGGTTTCAACACACAATAAAAGGGTTTCCATTGTCCTGTTGATGTTTCTGGGGACATGGGCATTTCAAGCCGTGTCCCGTGTGCTGGATGAGGAAACCATTGTTCAGAAACACCGGTTGTGGATGATTCAGTACGGACGTGCATATGTGAATGAAGCAGAGGAGGGAAGGCGTTTTAAGATATTCAAGGACAACCTTGAATACATCGAAAATTTCAACACCTTGGGGAACCAAACCTATGAGTTAAGCCTCAATATATTTGCAGACTTAAATAATGAAGAATTTGCAGCCTCACACACTGGATATAAGGATCTTCCCATTGCAGGAACATCAAAGAAAAGCACAGTTTTCCGATATGAGAACCTGACAGATTTCCCACCTAGCGTGGACTGGATACAAGCTGGAGCTGTCACCAACGTTCAAAATCAGGGTGATTGCAGTAAGAAATCATGAAATCTCCAATTCCCAAAAGTTTTCTCTTGATTCTACCATCTGTCTTTTCCTAAGCCGATTTTACTGTTTTATTTACCTCTTATAGATTGTTGCTGGGCATTTTCTGCTGTTGCTGCTGTGGAAGCGATCATCCAGATTAAGACAGGCAATTTGATCTCACTGTCTGAACAACAGCTGGTGGATTGTGTAGACAGCAATGATGGCTGTAGTGGCGGTTGGATGGACAATGCATTTCACTACATTGTACAAAATCAAGGAATTACTAGTGATGCAAATTACCCGTATAAGGCAACAGATAAAAAGTGTGATTCTAAGAAGGCAGCTGTGTCAACTGTCACAATCCATGGCTATGAAGATGTTCCTGCAAACAATGAGGCAGCGTTGCTAAAGGCTGTGAGCAAGCAACCTGTATCAGTTTGTCTTGAAGGTGCAAGCAAAGACTTCCAATTCTACTCAAGAGGAATCTTTACTGGAAAATGTGGGACTTCCCTAAACCATGCGGTTACTGTGGTAGGGTATGGGACAAGTGAAGATGGTACAAAGTACTGGCTGGCCAAGAACTCGTGGGGCATAAACTGGGGTGAGAAAGGTTACATGAGGATTTTGCGAGAGATCGATGCTCCTCAAGGTCTTTGCGGTATTGCCAAAAAGGCTTCTTACCCAATTGCATAAATACCACCTAGTTTCACTAGGGCGTTGGCATACCCCCATTTACTTTACTATTAATTAAGTGTATGAGTGTTGTTGTAAAAGCAATATTATCAGCTCAATAATAAGATTGTATCAATATTATAGTTAAATGGAGTTATGAGAAATTACTTTCTTTTAACCTTCTTAAAAAATCAAACAATAAAATGTGAAGCAAAAAGTAGTGCTAAAATAGGCATACACTTCAAGATTGTCATTGAAGTTTCTTATCAACAACCTTTCATGAAGAAAAATTCTTTAGTCACTATTGTTTTTTGCATTAGAAAAAAGAGAAAATGTGCAAATAAAAATGTTAACTTTACTT